ACACTGAAACACAATCCTTAACATAAAATAATTATTGGACAATGTCCCATATAAAGTTATAGTAATTCTATAAAGTTAAAAAGATATACAAATTGACCGAGAAGAAACCAAGTATTATAATGGCCAGGAATCCAAATCGCAATATCGTGTCGTTCTCCAAAACTTTTATGCAGCTGGAGCATAATCAAAAGATATTTAGAGGTGTAAAATGGGTTGTATTCCATTTTAGTTTTAAACTCTGTCAAACAAGTTTTACACCTAAAAGCAGAAAATAAAATAAACAAAAACATGAAAATCAATTGGGTTTATAATTGTACTGTTACTTTGCTGCCCATGCCTTCTAGAGCCCCTGAATATGATCATCATTATTTTTATAATTGTAGGGGGATATCAACTTAAAACTTAAAAGTATTAGTTCCTGCTGCATCAACTATGATTTCGGTATGCAGACAAAATACAATTATGATCAAGGACAATCAAGCGAAACAGGACAATTGTTGTGAATACAATCCATGATCCACGGAAGTGCTGCATTCAATAGACGGCAAAGAAACCGCTACAAAGCTACAATCTGTGCAATTCGGTGTGCAGCCACATTAGAAATACGAGGATCATGCTGGACACAAATTTGGGTATTTGAAGCAATGAAGCTGCAATTTTGTCACGAATGATTGCTTAGAAGAAACTGGACTTGTGCTGGGGTTAAATGATGCAGCCTGACAAAAGAACTCAGATGGACTGTTCTAGAATTGTCAAGAAATGTCATTATCTCCTGTGAATCAAAATAATCCATATCTTGCATTTGTAAACAAGAACTTTGAGAACAGGCTGCAAGAAGATATGGCATCCATTTCACCTTTAATATATCCCTGTCTCGACCTTGACCTCGACCAATTTCTGAAGCTCATCAGGGATTGAATTGCGAGAACCAAACATGTTGCAACAACAGTGGCATCAGAGACCTCAAGATCAGCTCTGATTCCTTCACCATCTATCTCACTTGCAGGCATCTTCAGAAAAACTGAAAAGAAAATATTATCATGAAAATTCTTTCAGAAGAAAACACCAAATAAACAACAATAAAGGACCGAAGAATACAATAATATCTATGAATATGATTGGTCAGATCCTTACATAATCGAACAGTGAAAGGCATTTACAATGAAGTAAGCAGCCAAGCTGACGTCAATGATTGAACCATGAGCTTCGACTCTGAAATCATGCATGGGAAATTTTTTTCTCAAGTCTGCAAGTACACATACAACAGAAATATTGCATCAAAAGAATCTGAACTACAGCAGCTTGCCTATTTAATACGATGACAGATAAAGAAAATCCCTAAACTCCGAGGATAAAGAGTCCATTAAGGAGCCCAAGAAATGAACCCTCCCCTCCTCACCCTCTCTCCTTTCAAATCATCAAAGACCCTCATATCCCTATCCACCAAACAGCCTATTAAATTGTCATTACATCAAATCTTCCCAAAACCATAGCATTACACGACGCAGGGTTAAACCAGCTGAATCTTACCTCCTTAACTGGCCGCAAACATACAGTTAAAGGTACTAGGCAGTGAAGCAGCAGATGGACCAGAGAGACAGGGCAAAGGAAAGTCGCCTCCTTTGAACCATGTGATTGGTATATATTCCTCCGTTGTTGAAGAAGAAATCAATCTTCGTGACCAGAATTACAAGAGCATAACATATCTACACAAGCTTCAAGCTGGTAACAGAATAACCAATGGGGAAGGAAGTACGGATGTGAATTTGTGCCATGCCACCTATGTGAAAAAGTGTCAATGAAAACCAATTTTTTTCATAATAAACAAAACAGGGGAAAGACAAATGAGAAGGATAGAAAAAAAAAAAAAAACATTACAATTTACAAAACAGGGGCCAAGTTAACTTTTATCTTACAACTTTAAGCTCACAGGTCATCCATAGACATTGATTACAATCTAAACTAGCTCAAATGAGATTCAAATACATTCTTATTACAGAAAGAGTACCTAAAAATGTTGTGCATTCGATGCCTGCATGTAGGAATGTGTCGCTTGAGATATTCCAGGTACACCTTTCCGTTTCTCCTCATTGTGACAATTGTTTTGTAGAAAAACAAAGAGCTATATACAATGTTAAATTCTCCTCCGAAAATGACACGTAAAGGAACCTTACATATGAAAATCTCTCCAAGAGAAGATATGCTGTCCTGCAAAAAGACAGATAATTACTCAGCATTTGAGACCTATAGGATATAAGTTGCGATCAGCAAAACGCAAAACAACCCCAATCAGATTGAGTTTGTTCTTCTTCAAAATGATTTTGATCAGAAAAAAGCATGAGACCAGTAAACAGGAGAGCCAAGGTAATTGACAAAAAACGTTAATTGGATTACATACCCGAGTGTGATCTGAGTTTGCTCATATCATATCATATGATGATGACTTGGTCATTTATCTTGATGCAAGGAATGTGAGATATCTTGGCCCAATCTTTTCCCGTCTTATTCTGATACCTTTTTTCTAGGGCAGAACAATTGAGGATGCGAAGTAAAGAAAGAGATGGCGGCAAACCCTCTTCTGGCAGGAATTGGATATTGGGACACGAAGTAATAGATAGCCTTCGAAGAGAAGTGAGGTGTTGAAGTCCCTCTCCTGGCAGGAATTGGAGGTTGTCACACTCGTCAATTTGCAGCGCTTGGAGAGAAGTGAGGTGTTGAAGTCCCTCTCCTTCTCCTGGCAGGACTTGGATACTGCGACACTCACTAATAACTAGATGGAGAAGAGTGGTAGGGAGCAGGTGTTCCTTGAGCAACGTCTCCAAGATACTGCCACCAATTACAAAAAGTTCAAGGGAGACAAGTCCTTCCAATCCCCAGTACTTTACCACTGGAGCCCTCAGCCTCTCACAACTACGAGTTAACAAAGATCGGATGTTGGGAGGCAAACCCCCTTCTGCAAATGACTCCAGATTTGGAAGATCACCCACCAGCAACAGTCGAAGGGCTGTGAGGGTGTGAATGCCTTCGGGCAATGACTTGAAATTCTTGCATTCGCCGACTGTAAATTCATTCAAGTTGGGAGTGGGCCATCCTCCCTGACATTGAAAACACATCAAATTTGGACAATCACGGATAAACAATTCTCTGAGATGACTGAGATTCTCATTAACTCCTCCTTCTTCAATGAAGGAAAGGGATTCCAGATTCTCACAACCCCTAATGTCAAGCTTCTTCAATTTGGGAAAAATGCTCACCGAAAAGTTCCTCAGTGAATCACAGCTATTCTCTATCCACAAAGATTCGAGCGATGTTAATTTGGCCAACATCTCGTCAGGTAGGAATTCTAATCTCTTACAGTCCAGTATATAAAGTGCTGTCAACGTAGTGGGTAACCCATCTTTAGGGAATGAAGACAGCGTTGGACAATTCTGGAGAATCAAACGTTGAAGACAATTGTAATTGGGTAAGCATTGTATGTCAACGAAATTTCCAATTTCCACGAGTAATGATAACAGACCCTTTTGGCATCCACCTTCTATTTTCAACTCTTCAAGAGATCTGTATTTAAGACTACTGGTTGTTGTAGTAATGGCCCCTTCATCATGTAAAACCTCACACTCAGACACCGTAAGCTTCTTCAAGCAAGGCAGATGATAAGGCAAGCTTCTGCTCAGCTTCGGACAGTTGGTTAGATTCAGCTCTTGGAGACGAGGGAAATCTGGACCATATTCACCTCCACTTGCACTTCCACTTGGTACCCATTCCTCCCACTCTGGCATCTCCTTAAACTCCAACTTCTCCAGAGATTGAAATGGCGGAATGAGAGAAGCTCCATTTCTGCCATAGAACTCTACACCAATGGTCTTAACAAATTTCATGCTTTCTATACAGAGCTCTTTGAGACCGGGTAGCTGCCCAAATGCTGGCAGCAACCAACAATATTTACAATCACTGAGATGCATGACTTGTATGTTAGAGAAAGACGAGTCTCCTAACCAATTCGGGAAATTCGTTCCACCATAGAATCTGATGGTTAATTTCTCCAAATTCAAACAAGGCTGGAGCTTGTCAAGTACATCTTTCTCCTTTTGGGAATCATCAGCATCCTCTGCACCCCATGCCAACTCTAACTCCTTGAGATCTTTCTTGTCCTTCAAATTGGCTTGCAATGCATCCCTAGCATCAACTACATTTTGTAGCTTCAAAATTGCAAGTTTTCCTTGAAGCTGCGGGAACTCCCTCAGTTCTCCTTTGCTTGACCCAGCAGATCTGCCCACAACAAAAGCAGTCAATTGTCTCAAACTTTTCAGTCTTCCCATTTGCACCGGCATCTCTTCAATTTTAGTTCCACTGACATCAAGATAATGCAAATTAATCAACTCCCTCATTCCTGCAGGCAACTTAGTAAGAGAGCTACAACTTGCCAACGTTAATTTTTGCAAATTAATCAATTTTCTGATATTTGCAGGCAATTCAAGGAGAGAGGAACAATTTGACAATAGTAACGTCTGCAAGTTGTAGAGATTGCAAAGTACCCCAGGTAACCTTTCAATTGTGGTATGGGAAAGATCCAAGTAGCGCAATTGAATGAGGTTTCCAATAGAATCAGGTAACTCAGTGACATTTTGATAACGTGACAATGATAGCACCCGTAAACATCTTAGTGATGGCAGCAAATGTTGTAGAACCTTTTTACTTACATAAAATTCTTCACGATATTTATTTGTTTTTAAAGAGGTAGGTAGGAAGGTCCTCAAACACTTAGCCCCATATAATGGCTCAAATTTTTGAGCAACATCAAATTCTCCCCTAGCATATGACAAATGACGAGCTCTTTTAACTTCACGTGATTCCACCCCTTCCAGCCTAAGGCAAAACCCCCTAGAGATGAACATAGCCAAGTCATGAATGAGGTCATGCATTGTGAAACCGAATTCTCTTGACTTTTGAAACAGCGACCGGGATAATAGCTCATCAAAGTATTTTCTAGCCACAGATTCCATAATCTTCCCATTATCAGTTTGTGTAACTAAGCCTTCTGCCATCCATAATTGAACTACATCTTCCTTTTCAAACTCATAATCCTTTGGAAAAACTGAACAATAAACAAAACATCGTTTTAACTGAGCAGGGAGATACTGATAACTCAACCATAGAGCCGGAAGAATGTCAGTTGTACCATAGGGTAGGTACCAAATATTACTATTTAGTATTCTATTCCACTCCTCGGAATCTATATTGCAACGTAACAAACCCCCGAGTGTTTGTGCAGCTAAAGGCAACCCTTTGCACTTGAGTGCAATTTGCTTGCCAATGTCTTCCAAGTTTGAATTTGCACTATAGTTTTCATTTCCAAAAGCATGTTTAGCAAGTAACAACCAGCAGTCTTGATGTGACAATGGTTCCAAGAATTGAATGGGAACATTTTTCATTAAAGATGCTACAT